ATCCTAATACAGAATTTGGACCGCAAAAAACTGAGATAATTCAGCCTGGTGAGCTACACCAACCATAATGTTTCTAAAAACCAAACTTCCAGATTAAAAACTCACCAGTGAAGCAAAGTCATAGGACAGAGGGGTTTTATTTCATCTATACAATTGCCCCAGGAACCAGTTCCAAACTGGAATGATGGCCACAAATATCTATTGATTGGGTTGTTGTAGATTTTTTCGGGCTGTATGGCCATGGTATAGAGGCATTCTCTCCTGATGTTTCGCCTGCATCTATGACAAGCATCCTCAAAGGTAGTGAGGTATCTATTGATTGTGGATTGATCCAAACCCAGGAATGCTTTTTTTCCCTTACTTGCTGCCACCGTACATCATGGTGCAAAGCTAGACATCACATTTTAAAACCAGCCATTTCAAACCACTGTGAGCGCATTCTAGAAGCGACCTGGGAAGTCACCAAGGAATGGCTTTTCCCCAAGGCATGAATGCATGATTAAATTAAACGTATTCCATAAATGACTAGATGACACGAAACTAATCTTTTAAAAGAACAGATGGAGAAAGTTAATAAATATTTCATTTTCTCATGTAAAATTCACTTCCCAATTCACATCTTTAAGGATCTTTTGGTTTCGTAGGGATCAATAAGGCGGGTGGGTTTCACGTTCCGTTCTCACGGCTTCTCTTGAGAGCGCGGTTCTTACAAGATCATCATTTGTATACGCTTGGGTTGTTTTATGGGGTTGGTGAAAGGCAAAGGACTGTAAATCTTGCACTCTTGCTGGATTCCCATCTTTTATTCCAACCCATAAGCATATATCTTGACATCAAAGAGATTATGAAATGTCAAATTTATCCAAAGAGAGAATTTATAAAGCAATATTATCACGCAAGGATTTGAGGAAGCCCCAACATCATCCTAAAGGTTATCATGATATCATGCCTATGCTTCATCATCATCTCTGCCGGCTATGTTTCGAAGCCAGGCTCAAAATGTTGGGTTTTTATATTTGCACAGTCTTCAACAACTCCACCTGGGACTGAGTTGTTCAACTGATGGTGACTCTTTCATGGGCAATCCCTTGAATGAAAGATTGTTGAGTCCATCCAACTGAAGCATAGTCTCCCACTTTTCCTACTGCCTAGCTTATTGCTTTTTCTAGTGAGTCGTATTTACTCATAATATGTCCAAAGTATAGCCATCTCAATTTAGTCATCTTGGATTCTTGGAAGAGCTCAGGCTTCATTTGCTCCTGAAATTATTTTTTGTCTCTCTAGCACTCTGAGGTATCCACAGGGCCAACTAATCACCTCCCCACAAAGGATTCCCCCAGGCAGTAAGAAGCCAGACCTTGAAAACTACTAAGCCATTAAATGCTAATCCAGGTAGCCAAATGCAACATTCACACTTGCCTCAAGCTGACAAGAGTTCTTTCCCTCACCCTGGACATCCCACACATATATAAACTCCATTTTCCTAGTTTCCAACAGAACTCATAACCTCTGAGGATGCCTGCCATAGATGCAGGCGAAACATCAGGAGAGAATGCTTCTGGAACATGGCCATACCGCCTAGAAAACTCAAAGCAATCCAACAATAATATATGTTGTTGAAGGGTTTCATGGCCAGAAGCATTCTCTCCTGACATTTTGCCCACATCAATGGCAGGTATCCTTAGAGCAGTGGTTCTCAACCTGTGGGTCCCCAGGTGTTTTGGTCTTCAACTCCCAGAAATCCTAACAGCTGGTAAACTGGCTGGGATTTCTGGGATTTGTAGTCCAAAACACCTGGGGACCCACAGGTTGAGACCCACTGCTCTAGAACTATAATCCTCCTATAACATTGCCCCACTCCCACTTTCTCTTTTGCTTTCTTTCTATATCCCACCAGCACCTAAACTACAAACAACCCGTGAGCTGTATGGCCATGTAGCAGAAGCATTCTCTCCTGACATTTCGCCATCATCTATGGCTATCCTCAGAGGTTGTGAGTTCTCTGAGGATGCCTGCCATAGATGCAGGCAAAACGCCAGGAGAGAATGCTTCTGGAACATGGTCATACAGCTTGGAAAACACACAACAACCCAGTGATTCCAGCCATGGAAGTATTTGACAATACATCCACAGAATTCCTCTCCAGCATCATCTCTCCAATGAGTTGCTGTTCTTCTTATCAGCATTCTTCACTATTCAGGCTTTCATAATCATGCCTAGAGATGAGGAATACGATGGCATAGTTGCCCTTCCAAGTCCTTCATCTGATTTCTTGACTACAGCTTCCATTCTGGTTAATGACTTAGCTAAAGTATGGAAGTTGCTTGTTGTGAAGTGAGAATGAAGGATCCAGCCATAAGATCTGTGAGGAGATGATAGTGTGACTGACACCCCATCAGTGTTATTGCATGGATCATTCTGACCTCAGAGGATGTTACTTCACCAGACATGAAGACTGAGAAGGTGGTGGGCCTTGAGAAGGGCCTTGATCTACCAACCTCACAACTGATCTCATGCCTGGATCATCTGGGCAGTAGGTGGTGGCCCTAGTATTCTTTATTATTAACAAGATAATAGACAGGATCTGCATCCAGGAAATCAGAAGACATTTCCTTCTTAGGAGGAGAGCAATGACCAATCTCGATAAAATGATGAAGAGTAGAGACATCACACTGGCAATGAATAATATGCAAAGTTAAAGCAATGGTATTCCCCATAGTCACCTATGGATGTGAGAACTGGACCATGGAAGGTGGAGCAAAGGAAGATGGATGCTTTTGAACTGAGGTGCTGGAGGAAAATCCTGAGAGTGCCTTGGACCGTGAGAAGATCAAACCCGTCCACACTCCAGGAAATAAAGCCCGACTGCTCACTGGAGGGAAGGATAGTAGAGGCCAAGATGAAGAACTTTGGCCACATCATGAGAAGAAAGGAAAGCTTGGAGAAGACAATTATGCTGGGGAAAATGGAAGGAAAAAGGAAGAGGGGCCAAAAAAGGACAAGATGGATGGATGTTATCCTTGAAAGGGACTGGCTTGACCTTCAAGGAGGAGCTGGGGGTGGTGATGGCCAACAGGGAGCTCTGGCGTGGGCTGGTCCATGAGGTCACGAAAAGTCAGAAGCGACTGAACGAAGAAACAATAACAATAAATAGGATCAACTTTATTAATGTAAAACACATACCCAAAAAAGTAGCACTAAACCTTTCTTTAATTGGAGATAGCTGCCACCGAATCCATCATCTCCAGCACCATGACCATCCCAGTCCAAGTGGACACATGTAGCAGAAGAAAGTTTTTACTGCAAAGTGCAGAGCAAGAAGTGATTTTTTAAAAAATCACATTGAAGTTTAATGTAAGCAATTTCACCATTAAAATGTGTGTCAATCATATGTTCCTACAGTTCCAGAATAGAGATGGGTACTGGGTAGTTGTGGGGTTTGTTGTATCACCATCTTAATTACTTTCGAGAAATTAGTCATCAATAGGATTTCCTCTCTTCTGTCCTCCCAATATAACATTCTGCGTAAAATATTTAAAAGACATGTTAGCATTTGCCTTATTATGCTAGTAGTTACAGTAATTTTTTTATATAAAAACAGCATTTAATTAACATTTACAAACAAAACTAATAGTATACATCATTTCAACCAGTCCGCATTGCATCCAACAAGAAGCGAGGTCAACTGGGATTTAATGCTGCATATTTATAACTTATGTTTCATATAAATATTGAAAACACAACCAGTTTTTTCACACCAGGCTGTATCTTGAGATACCATTGATGTCCCACTGAAGTCAACAACACATCTGCCCCCACCTCGCTGTAGTATAAACATGGAACCAAAAGTTGTGAGCATTGATTGTTGGCGCCATGGTGGCACAATACCTTGTGCTGCTGAACTGCTGACCAAAAGGTTGGCAGTTCAAATCCATGGGGTGGGCTGAGCTCCCATTGTTAGCCCTAGCTCTTGCCAACCTAGCAGTTTGAAAACATGCAAATGTGGGCAGATCAATAGATACCGCTTTGGCGGGAAAGGCATAAGCCACTCCAAGCAGTCATTCCGCCCCCACCACATTGTATATGGAGACAAAAGTTGTGAGCATTGATTGTTGGGGCCATGGTGGCACTTGGTGGCCATGGTGATCAGACCTCACAATCTCTGAGGATGCTTACCATAGATGCAGGTGAAATGTCAGGAAAGAATGCTTCTAGAACATGGCCACATAGCCCAAAAAACCTACAACAACCCAAAGCATTGAATGTTTGCCTATGTATGTAAATGCTGTAATCTGCTCTGAGTTCCCTAGGGGAGAAAGGCTGGATATAAATAAAATGAATTATTATTATTATTATTATTATTATTATTATTATTATTATTAGGTGCAAATATAGGTTGCAGGCAAGCAAAATGTTCTGTGAAAGAACTCTATCCTCAATATCTTCACAAAAATTACAGATTTTTCAGGAAAAGGAGAAGTTGGAACAATATGAAAAGTTTCAGATAAATTTAAGACCAACAGACTGCCACAAACAACTCATGACTTTATGAGGAAGCTAATTGTTTAGGTATAAATCCTGGGGCGGTTCAACCCATTACGCAAAGTAAGCATTCGCAGTACAGTTGATTTTGCCCAGGGGCGCTCTTGGGGGAAAATAGGCCTTGACATATGCGAGTTGTAGTTACTGGGATGTATAGTTCACCTACAATCAAAGAGCATTCTGAACTCCACCAATGATGGAATTGAATCAAATATGGCACACAGAACTCCCACGATGAACAGAAAATATGTATCAGTGATTGGTTTGGCGGGGGACGGGACGGGGGGGGACGCCAAAATATTGTTTGCTTACCATTGAAAATTACCTAGGGCTGCCTCTGTATAAATCCCCAGTGTCTTCCCATAACTGGGACCCCTTTCACACAGCCATATAACACAGAATAAAAGATAAAGGTTTCCCTTTGGTATGAACTCTAGTTGTGTCTGACTCTAGGTGCTCATCTCCATGTCTAAGCTGAAGAACCGGTGTTGTCCATAGATGCCTCCAAGGTCATGTGGCCAGCATGGCTGCATGGAGCACTGTTACCTTCCTGCCACAGCAGTACCTACTGATGTACTCACATTTACATGTTTTCGAATTGCTAGGTTGGCAGAAGCTGGGGTTAGCAGCGGGAGCTACCCCCAGTTTCTGCTGGATTTGAATTGCCAACCTTTTGGTCAGCAAGTTCAAAAGTTCAGTGGATTAACCTGCTGCAGCACTGGAAGCTCCATAACCCAGTATATCAAGGCTGAAAATCCCACAATATCTGCTTTGAACTGGGTTATCTGAGTCCACACAGCCATATAACCCAGTTCAAAGCAGATAATGTGGGATTATATTCAGCTGTGTGGAAGGATCCTGGGTTCCCTGTCTGAATTTGTCAAGGCTCCTTTTCTGGGGAAAATGGCTATTTTTCAATTATAAAAATGGATAATTCTATAACTAATGTTGTATTTTCCACTAAGGTAACTCTCCAGCATTATTTGATAGCACCTAAACCACACCAATGGTTCTATAAATAGTGTCCATATTACCAAAACATCCCACTTCAGATGGCACCAAACTGTCTTCCTCTTAAGGGTTTTACTGGGATCCAGTTCTTTCACGCCAGCTCCTTCAGGATGCTGTGGCCAACGAGGTAAAACAGAAGTCCAGAAAGCAACACCAAGGGAACTCCAGCAGCAGCGAACATGAAGGACCACCCATAATAAACATTGACTGGAATGCCGTCCAAGCATCTTTCATGTCTTTCCAGAAGTATATATTTAGGGAGATCAGCTGCAAATTCCTTCCACATCACAAACATGAATATAAGCAGGGCAAATAGACCTCCTGTTTGAAAGAGAAGGAAAGAATAGATGTAATCCCAACACAAGAAAGCATGAAAAGAGAAGTTCAGTTTATTGTCTAAGGCTTTCATGCAGAATCACTGCGGTGTGGTACGTCTTTTCGGGCTATATGGCCATGTTCTAGAGCCATTCTCTCCTGACATTTCACCTGCATCTATGGCAAGCATCCTCAGATGTTATGGGGCAGGGGTCCTCAAACTTTTTAAACAGAGGATCAGGCCACAGCCCCTCAAACTGTTGGAGGGCCGGATTATAATTTGGGGAAAAAATGAATGAATTCCTATGCACACTGCACATATCTTATTTGTAGTGCCAAAAAACCACTTAAAAACAATACAATAATTAAAATGGAGAACAATTTTAACAAATATAAACTTATTAGTATTTCAGTGGGAAGTGTGGGCCTTTTGGCTAATGAGATAGGATTGTTGTTGTTGTTGTATGCTTTCAAGTCATTTCAGACTTAGATTGACCCTGAGCGAGGGCCGGGTAAATGACCTTGGAGGGCCGTATCTGGCCCCTGGGCCTTAGTTTGAGGACCTTTGTTGTGGGGTGTAGTGCCAAAGAGCCAGCGTTATCCATAGACACCTCTACGGTCATGTGGCCAGCATGACTGCATGGAGCACTGTTGCCTTCCTGCCAGACTGGTACCTATTGACCTACTCACATGTTGCATGGTTTCAAACTACTAGGTTGGCAGAAGCTGGGGCTGACAGCGGAAGCTCACGCCGCTCCTTGGATTCGAACCTGCAACCTTTCGGTCAACAAGCTCAGCAGCTCAGTGGTTTAACCCACTGTGCCACCGGGGGCAAATATATATAAGCTATATATGAGCTGGGAGTGGTGACGGCCAACAGGGAGCTCTGGCGTGGGCTGGTCCATGAGGTCATGAAGAGTCAGAAGCGACTGAATGAATGAACAACAACAAAATAAATGGGCAGTAGTACGAGATTCTAGTATTCTGAACAATAAAGATGTATGGTATCTTCAACCCCTGTTCATCTTTTTTATTTTTATTTATTTATTTATTATTTAAACTTATATGCCGCCACTCCCCTGGGGCTCGGAGCGGCTTACAAGAATAGCTAAAATCTAACAAAGTTTAAAAGCAATTTAAAACAATTTAAAAACAACAGTATCAAACATTAAAAGCCTGTCGGAACAGGTATGTCTTACATGCCCTGCGGAAAGCTGGTAAGTCCCACAGGGCACGAACTTCAGGTGGCAGAGCATTCCAGACTGATGGCGCCACTGCTGTGAAGGCTCTGCGTCTGGTTGCTGTTAGACGCAAGGTCTTGACACTGGGGACTTCCAATAGATCTTGGTCCTCAGAACGGAGGGATCTCTGGGGTTGGTAGGGGGTGAGACGATCCCTCAGATACATTGGCCCCAGACCATGCAAGGCCTTAAAGGTGAGTACCATCACTTTGAAAGTGATCCGGTGCTCAATTGGTAACCAATGCAGCTGTAGTAAGATTGGTGTTATGTGGCATCTCATCGGAATTCCCGCAAGAAGCCGAGCAGCTGCGTTTTGTACCAACTTGAGCTTCCGAATCACCGACAGAGGGAGGCCAATGTAGAGGGCGTTACAGTAGTCCAGTCTTGAGATGACCGTGGCCTGGATCACCGTAGCTAGGTTGTCCCTGGACAGGTACGACCTGCAACCTTGGTATATTCTTTCACAAGAAGACTAAACCCATAGCAACACAGTTGGAGCAAAGAACCCTTACAGCTTGCTTCCATTTTTCTTCTGCTTCCATTCATTAAGGGTCAAAACCTCCTCTGCATTTCAGTCTCAATGTTGTTTCTGGGGAGAGGCTAATTTCCTGAAAATTGAACTAGGTGATGATACTTTTTGCCTTCATATTCTCATGAAGCTGATAGCAAAGCTCTCTTGACTTCCAATTTCTCACGCAAAGGAAGGTGGCACCTTAACTCTGAGTGCACTGCTCACTAAATACTGGTTCAAAGACGACTGATCTCCAGGACCGATTGGCCCTTCCTTTCTCACATTATAGCCTTACTCAACATCATTGGCTCCTTGTAGAGACAAGTGGATGAACTCTAGGCTCTCTTTAGAAGTTACGGAGCTTGTCTGTAATTTGCTAATTAGAGTGGAAAGGGATCACGCCATCCCCTTTCCTCTCACCTTCTTGCCTTGCAGAAACTTCAAGATGCTAATAAAATATAATGAGACACCGAGATCCGTCTTGGCGTTTCCTAAGTGCAAATACATATGATGTACGAGCTGCTTGTAACGGTTGTAGTAGGGAATGCTTAACATTCAGAGAACAAGTGTGAATATAAATTGTGTGTTAACTCTCTCTGTTTTCCCGTTAAAAGGCAGCGTTAACACCATTAAGAACAGGAAGCCAAGTCCTTGTTATCACCTAAAGAAAGGTCTACCAAATGCAGGAATTTGCTGTCATTTCCAATGCTCTGGAATGAACCACCGGTCAGAGAATTTTATTTTGGAGGTCCATACACCCTTTTTTTTCTCTCAGAATATTTTTAACAGATCTTGGTATCAATCAGTTTATTTAAACCCAGTACAAAATTGGAAAGAATGGAGGAAAATCTTGAACTTTTCGTTCATAGAATTATAGAATCCTAGAGTTGGAATAATCACCCTAAACCCGTGATCCCTTACAGTACTGCTGTCGAGCCAGGCATCCCCCATTCTGTATCTTTGAATTTTGTTTTTTCTGACTAAGTGGAGTCTCTTGTATTTGTCCACTGTTGAACTTTATTTTGTTAGTTTTGGGCTATCATCTCTTGTTTGATTGTTTGTTTTGAGTCAATATGAGCAAGATTGTTTTGAATTAATAGGAATCAATAGGAGCCAGGCATGTAGCCAGGGGGGGGGGCAGGGGGCTTCAGCCCCCCCCCTGAAATTCTCATGGTGGTTCGTGAAAAGGCCTTACTGGTGCATTATTTAAACTGTTATGTTTATTCATATCATGATCTGATCACCATACTCAATATATCCCATATGCATGGGAGTATTGGGGTAATGATACAAAAGGTTTGCTAGGGTAGACCCTCTTTCACTCAGACTCAGCCCCCCCCCGAAACTCAGCCCCCCCCAAACCCCCCCCCTGAAAAAAAATTCAGCCCCCCCCCCCCCCGAAACGAAATCCTGGCTACGGGCCTGCATTAGGAGCATAGTGTCTAGATCTAGGGAAGTAATGCTACCCCTCTATTCCGCTTTGGTTAGACCACACCTGGAATATTGTGTCCAATTCTGGGCACCACAATTCAAGAGAGATATTGACAAGCTGGAATGTGTCCAGAGGAGAGCGACTAAAACTGATCAAGGGTCTGGAGAACAAGCCCTATGAGGAGCGGCTTAAGGAGCTGGGCATGTTTAGCCTGAAGAAGAGAAGGCTGAGAGGGGATATGATAGCCATGTATAAATATGTGAGAGGAAGCCACAGGGAGGAGGGAGCAAGCTTGTTTTCTGCTTCCCTGGAGACTAGGACGCGGAACAATGGCTTCAAACTACAAGAGAGGAGATTCCATCTGAACATGAGGAAGGACTTCCTGACTGTGAGAGCTGTTCAGCAGTGGAACTCTCTGCCCCGGAGTGTGGTGGAGGCTCCTTCTTTGGAAGCTTTTAACAGAGGCTGGATGGCCATCTGTCAGGGGTGATTTGAATGCAATATTCCTGCTTCTTGGCAGGGGGTTGGACTGGATGGCCCATGAGGTCTCTTCCAACTCTTTGATTCTATGATTTGATTCTATGATTCTATGAATTCTGCTCCTATCTTCTGGAATATTGGCTCTCCCTCCCAATTTGGTCCCATCCGCAAACATGACATTAATGCCTTCTAACCCTTTCTGTAAGTCATTAATAAAAATGCTGAACAGAACCAGGCCCAGGATGAAGCCCTGCTGGTGGCACTCCACTCATCACTTCTCTCCAGAATGAAGAGGAAGCATTGGGGAGAATCACCCTTTGGGTTTGTTCACTTAACTAATTACAGATCCACCTAACCGTAGTTTTGCCTAGGTCACATTGAACTAGTTTGTTTGCCAGAAGGTCAAGGGGGACCTTGCTGAAGGCCTTACTTCAGTCTGGATGCATCCTATATTTGGATTTACGATCCAAAACCGTGTCTCATCCCCTGTCAACCTGGGAGGCATGGAATTGTGGGTTTCTTTAACAAAACAATACTCAAAACCAATTTCTAATATATCCTTATTCCCCGAGTTCTAAAGCACTCTGAATCGCAGCTCATTTTCTCTGCAAACTGTGAAAGACAATCAAAATATATCACAGCACAATTACGTCAGATGCACCGCTGAGCTAAATTCTCATAATTAGGCCTTGGAAACACTTAGATCGAGTTGCTCGGAATCTCAGCTCATGCGAATTGATGTCCAGAGAATGATCTGAAAGTAGAGCTGAGCCAAGAAGACATTCATCCCAGAAAATTACTCAGTATTTTCGCTTTTTTTACTCTCTTCCTCCCCGCAAAGAATTGGGGGGAAAAGACCAATTTGTGGATTTTTCTCATAGTATTTTAAGGGAGGCTTGTCATTTTCTCCCCATTTGTCTAAAGCATTGCAGAAGAGAAAATGGTGCACAAAACGGCTGCCAGCAGAGTCCGGAAGAACGGCAAAATGCAATAAATAGTGGTACTCTTATTGGTAAGATTCCTACACGGAGAAATTCAGTGAAATCTCTGCCCCATTCCCCTAATTTCCCTGACTTAGAAATAGAGTGAGAAATATTGAAAAACCATTTCTACACTGCTTTTGTCCAAAAGCAGAAGATAATGTAGTTGTGCCATAAAGCGGCTAAATCACGATAAGCTTCTTAGCTAAGTAAAAAATGTCAAAGGAGAAAGAAGAGGAATTGGAGAAACTTTTCATCAGCCTTTTGCTGCTCATCAATAATACAACAACACTGAACAGGGGGGGAAATAAGAGAAGCAAAAGCAATAAAAAGGAAACTACTAATTAAAGTCACAATAGCTCTGAATAGTCTCAATAGTTCATGGTGGGCCCTAATTGGGCAAATTCACATATGATTTCTTGGGTTGTAATAACATACATGGGCAATATAGTTGGGCAATACAGAAACTGCAGAATGCAATGAGATGATGGTAACATTCACTGAATTCTGTAAAAAATGTAATTCAGTAAATGAGCAAAGAAAAGGATAGAAAATTCAGAGTTATAGTTTTTTAAATCATGTCAGAGATAAATTGGAGTTGCTTCTGATGTGAGAGAATTGACCATCTGGAAGGACATTGCCCAGGGGACGCCAGGATGTGTTACCATCTCTCATGTCCCCGCATGGGAAGCTGGAGCTGACAGGCAGGAGCTCACCCCATCTCACAAATTTGATCTGCTGACCTTCAGGTCTTCAAGTCAGCAGTTCAGCTCACTTGTCAAGAGGCAAGCCCTGAGTCCCTCTGTGGAGGTCGAGATAGGACGAGATACAAATGTTCGAAATAAATAAATAAATTCAGCTGGCACAAGAGTTTAACCCATTGTGCCACCATTGCTCCCTACAATTAGATGAGATTGGGGCAGGATCTGATTCTAGATTATCTGCTTTTGAGTGGATTATTTGGGGCGCCTTTCACACTGCCATATAATCCAAATTATCACAACAGGAAAATCCACATTATCTGAAATAGTGGAAGCAGCTCTTCCTAATTAAATTGTAAATGATCTCAAATTACTTTCAGAGCCTCTTACTCTCATGTAAATATATTGCTAGATTGAAGTTTTGATATCTTGCAAATTACAGATTACTCATTTGGTTTGAGTATAAGAACTCCAACTCCAAGAAATGAAAAAATGCATACATACACCAGCATTTTCCAGATGAAAACCAAAACATGGTAGCCAAGTAATATTAGAACATAGTCAACATAGTTGCATCGCTGTGCAACAACACAATTACTTATTGTGAATTGGCGTCTCACCAGCTGTGAGGAGGAATCCGCCGCCCACTTTGTAAAATCTTGCATTGACAAAGGGCACGCCGCACACGAGCAGAAACCCTCCTACGAGACTCGCCGTGACTCCCAGCACAATGAGCGCGGTCCAGAAGCCCCGGTACACTGCATGCACAAGTGGAAAGGAAAACATTTAGAGATACCCACCAATAAGTAGAAGCGATTTCTGAAGCATGTGTGACAACCCCAATTCATCTAACCAGGGGTCCTCAAACTTGTTAAGCTGAGGGCTGGTTCATGGTTCCTCAGACTGTTGGGTAGGGGGGGGGGGGAGAGAGATTATAGTTTGAAAAAACCATAAACAAATTCCTAAACACACTATGAATATCTTATTTGTAATGCAAGAAAACATGAAAGAATGATCCAATATTTAAAATGATGAACAATTTTAACCAACATAAGCATACCAGCCAATGAGATAGTCAAGTTAATTAGGACTGTTGTTGTGTGCCTTCAAGTTGTTTCAGACCCTTAGGACCTCATCACATTTGCTACCAGAATCGCCACGTAGAGTGGTGAATCCATGGGAGACTTGGAGAACCAGTTGCTGTTATGTCCCGTGGGGGAAGCATCTCTCCCACCCGGTTTCACCCTATTGATCTTAATGCAACATGGGAAGCCTTCTGTGTTGCTCTCATGGCTGTGTACATTGGTTCCTTTCCAGTTTTGCCATGGAGCCCCATCAGAAGCAGATGTATGTAGTGGGATGGGAGCCAGTGGACTCCGTGGCAAAAATGAAGAGGAACTGGCATATGCCACCAAATTTATTTATTATTTATTTATTTAAAAGTTTTATATCCCAATCTTCTCTACCTCTGTTGAAGGACTCAGGCCTGATGAGGTTGCAGGTCTAAAATTTAGGACAGTGGCTGGGTAAATGACCTTGGAGGGCCTTAGACTGTGGGCCTTAGTTTTGGGAACCCTGATCTAGGTTCAGGTTTCACTGAAAATCCATATGGCCTACTTGTTAACATTTCACAAGTGAAAACTGGGACACTTGGTGAAGCAACACCAGAGATGGCTAAATATTGAATGAGAAGGTCCACCAGCGCATAACAGTTTACATTTTCTCAGTTCTACTAGGGTGGGGACAACATGATGTTGTGTTTTGAGCACTGAACTGGAGACCAGATTTGAAGACTCAATCATGGAAGTGCAATTGTGATCTTGGAAAAGTCACATTCTCACTGAAGAAAGCAAAGGCAAACACCCTCTGAACAAAGCTGCCAAGAAAACGCTATGATAGGTTCACCGTAGGGTTGCCATAACTCTGAAAGGCACTCAACCACAACAACTGGGAAGGGCAAGATTTAACCTCCTCCAGCTTTTGTGGTCTCTTCCAGTTCTCCGATTCCATATTTATTGTTAGCTGTCTTGAGTCCCAATATCAGGAGAAAGGTAGGATAAAAACAAAGTAAATGAAGAAATAAATTTCCGTGCCAATGAAGTAGAAATAATTAACTACAGCAGAGTCTCGCTTATCCAACATTTGCTTATCCAATGTTCTGTATTATCCAACGCAGTCCAGGGTGGGAGACAGAAAGAAAACTGTTGTATGTTTTGGTGTTAAATTCATCAATACATTAAGTATTACATAATGTTATCATGTACTGAACTGCTTTTTCTGTCAATTTGTTGTAAAACATTATGTTTTGGTGCCTAATTTGTAAAATCATAACGTAATTTGATGTTTAATAAGCTTTTCCTCCTTATTATCCAACATTTTCGCTTATCCAATGTCCTGCCAGCCTCTTTATGTTGTATAAGCGAGGCTCTACTATATAGGATCATTACGGGATGTGCCTATATGGCCTGCCAAATGCACATGTGCCAAGAAACATAATCAGCTTAGCGATATATGAAGGTACACTTTGTAATTTCTATATAGAAATTTATAAATGTTTACTCCTTCATCTTACTCATGTTTGTGGTTTTGAGACCCCAGACTCCTTTTCACTCCCAGTCAGTGATGACCCCACATTTGGGGGGGGGGGGGMCTTGATGTGCCAAACAATTGAGGGAATGCATTTCTACAATGCCAACCTTTTAACTGGGATACTACATGGCTAAAAAAATAGATTTTTGGGTAGTGACCTTTTTAGAAGGAAGTACAATGACTATGCTCTGAGGATGCCTACTTGTTAAAACTTTTGCACCATGTATTGTACTAGCTCCTTTGAGTTGTAGGTTTTCGGACTGTATGGCCAAGTTCTAGAAGAATTCTCTCCTGACATTTTGCCTGCATCTGTGGCAAGCATCCTCAGAGGTTGTGAGGCGTGTTGGAAACTAGGAAAATTGGGTTTATATATCTGTGGAAGGTCCAGGGTGGGAGAAAGAACTCTTGTCTGTTGGAGCAAGGTGTTAATCTTTCAATTGGCCACCTTGATTAGCATTTGATGGCCTGGCAGTTTTTAGGTGTGGCTTGTTACTGCTTGGGAAATTGCTTTGTTGAGAGGTGATTCGGTGTTCCTGATTGTTTCTTGTCTGGAGTTCCCCTGTGTTTGAGTTTTTTTATTTACTGTTATAATTTTAGAGTTTTTTAGTAGTGGTAGCCAGATTTTGTCCATTTTCATGGTTTCTTCCTTTTTGATGAAATTGTCCACATGCCTCATTTGTTTATATTTTTTATTATAAACCACTTTGTGTGCAATGCTGGGAGAACAATATGATCTAGGTCAAATAATCTGCTGCTATTCCATTTCTTCCACCCACTCAAACACAATGGAATGTCCCTTGTTAAAAAATATGCAGTAATTTTTTTCATGTGAACAGAACTTACCTGCAGTTGCATCATAGGATGGATGCGGATATGGTCCAAGAGCAATTGGCATAGGAAATAAGTAGCCATGCATGCAGTGTTTAGGATGTGCTTGGCTAGCTGGGGAAAAAAGAAGAGAGAGTAGTTCACTTTGTGTTGTTTCTTATCCTATGTGAGTTCATCCAAAGGTGCAACTGCCTGCTTCAGGATGCAACTTTGCCCCACTATTAACACATGGCTGGATGAGCAGATAAATGCTCTTCTTCCAAGGCATCTTGGCTTGTCAGGTGAGATTCTGTGCATGCACCGTCGGCAGATGCAAAGCCAAAAGCCACTGGCTTTGTAAAGGGCATGCACAGAACTTCTTGAAAGCTAAACTCTTTCTGAAACTCACTTTGTTGTGAAAAGAGGGGAAACTACAAAGCTTTGAAGAACTACAAAGTTCTTTATCCCTTACTCTTGATGAAACTCTCATTGACTGCTGGGAAACCTATGTGACTGAAGTGCTTAAGTAAGCTTTCTTCTAGCCCTCTGTGTCCATTGTGTTTTCCTCTTTGAGGGCAATTTAATTTCCAGGTGCTTCTGGCAACAGATCCTTGCTTCGTCTTAAAAGCTAAGCAGGGTTAGACCTGATAAATAATTGGAAGAGGGTGTGCTGGTACAGCTGTACCAGGAGCTCCAATTTTGTTTGCTTTGCATTTAAATGTTTGTTTGCAATCCCAGGCTTGGGATTTTGCAGCAGGGTGGCTTCCCGTTATAGTTTGCAATCATAGGGCAAGCCACCTGTCAATTATAGTTAGGTTCCCTGGTCCCGCTCCTTTTTGAGTTTTGGAGGGAATAGGAGCCTTTTTGAGTCAGTCCACACAGAGAAGCTTCCATGTAGGACATAAAACGAAGTAGCTCCTGTAGAAAGCTTTGTCTTCTACGGCTTAGCCGGGGAGATATACAGCCTACAGCCTGGCTGGAGTTATACAGCCTTACAGCTCCTTTTGCTGAGGGACTTCAGTCAGCCATCACAGCAACCTGAACTTCTTCTTTTTCCCTGGAAGTCTACAAAGCTCTGCTTGGCAAGGGTCGCTCGCGGAAGCCAGATGCAGTTGGTACCGGGTGCAGGGGCTCCACGTCAACAGAGGCAAGTACAGACTGCCCAGATTAGAAGTTAAGGATTTCCCCATTAGTTAGTTATAGTTATGAAGATAGTGCCTGTTCCCAGTGAACAAGATTGCAAGAATCAATAGACTGTTAAGAAAGCTTGAAAGTACCTGTTTGTTTTCATCAATAAAGAACTTTGTTGGACTTACTTTAAGCATTCTAAAGATTCTGTTTTGGGGAGGTCCAAGGGCCTTTAATCTGAGGCAGCCCTGGCGTCCTGTTGGGCACACAGAATTTATGTCATTTGCACAGGCCCAGTGTGTGACAGTACAAGGGACTACATGAGAACGACAGCTGCTGTAGGCTATGTTTCAGTGGACGGTACAGTCAGCCCTCCACATTCTCTGGGATTAGGGGAGCAGGACCCTTGTAAAAGGACATTAACCTGAGAGGATGCGTCTCCAGAAACCTCTAGGTCCAACTGTACAACTCTGTGGTCAACAGGACCGGGCTGCAGTACAGCTGGTTAATCACCACCAGCATTAGATCACTGCTGACCGAAAGGTAGCAAGTTCAAAGCCCAAGTTGGATTGAGCACCCGACTGTTAAGCCTAGTTCAGTACAGATCTGTCCACTTGATGCACTTTCTCTCGTCCCTTAATGAAGGTCAACCACATTGTTCGCCCTTCAGAGTTCTCCCCTCAGATACACATTACTCCATCTGCTTATCTCACCCAGGGTTTTATCAATTTTATCCTGTGCATTTGGCCTGCCCACTTTATTCTTTCACCATTTTATTTTGTGTTTGTATGTTGTATATTTGTTATAGTTTGCATTTTATCTGTTGTTATTATTTGTTGTTGTATTTTACTTTGCTGTATTATAATTCTTGGAGCCCCCAGTGGTGCAGTGGGTTAAACTGCTGAGCTGCTGAGCTTATTGACTGAAAAGTCGCAGGTTTGAATCTGGGGAGCAGCGTGAGCTTCTGCTGTCAGCCCCAGCATTTGCCAGCCTAGCAGTTCAAAAACATGCAAATGTGAGTAGATCAATAGGTACCACTCCCACGGGAAGGTAGCGGCACTCCATGCAGTCATACCGGCCACATGACCTTGGACGTGTCTATGGACAARGCTGGCTCTTCGGCTTAAAAATGGAGATGASCACCACACCCCAGAATCGGACATGACTGGACTTAATGTCAGGGGAAAACCTTTACCTTTACCTATTGTAATTCTTGGGCTTGGCCTRATGTTAGCTACCCTGAGTCCCTTTGGGGAGATGGTGGTGRGGTATAAATAAAGATGATGATGATGATMATMATGATGATGATGATGATGATGATTATTATTATTATTATTTGAAACATAACAAGATGAGTRRACKGCAYACAAGATCACTCTGCTGGGTGTTGTATTGGATCACACATCAGACACTTCCCAAGTGTCTAGGACTGTGTGATGTATRGGCAAATAATGTGTACAGATCCCAGTAAGGTGGCCTTTTGCAGCTGGCAGATGGTAATCTTGTCAGCACCGATTGTGTTCAAGTCCAGGCCAAGGTCTTTAGGCACTGCACCCGGTGTGCCAATCATCACTGGGCCCACCTTTACTGGTTTGTGCCAGAGTCTGTGCAGTTCAATCTTTAAATCCTCATATCGTGTCAGCTTTTCCAGTTGTTTCTCTGCAATCCTGCTGTCACCAGGGATTACAACATCGACTATCCACACTCTGTTTTTTAACATGATCATGAGGTCAGGAGTATTGTGCTCCAAAACTCAGTCTGAATACAGAAGTCCCAAAGTAGTTTGACATGTTCAATTTCTGTAACCTTTTCAGGCTTGTGATCCCACCAGTTCTTTTTCGCAGGCAGATGGTCTTTGTGGCACAAGTTCCAATTAATCATCTGAGCAACGGTGTTGTGCCTCTGCTTGTAGTATGTCTGCTCAGTCTTCTTGTAGCAGATGAGGATATGATCTATTGTTTCATCTTCAGAGTCTATATTTGGGATATAATTATTATTAGTTTACTGTCCACTAAGCAGTTTGAAAACAGCTGAACTGTGAGTAGAAAAATTACGCACCACTTAAAGCGGGGAGGTATTTTACAACACCATAAAAATGCGGGCAATCAAAGAACAAGGAGGAAATACGACAATCAAAAGAACTCAGAGTCATAGTGGATAAAATGATAGCACCCTATGTGGCCGGAATCAAGGATAACTTCTAGGTGCCAAAGTTGGAAAATGCCAAAATACTTCTATCTGTCTGTCTTGTATGTCTAAAACAGCATTGAATGTTTGCAGTGTATGTGTTCTGTTGTGCGCTGGGCCTGTAAAGAATTTCCTTTAGAACAGGACGTGCAGCCTTTGCCCAGCGGGAAGCCAGGGGGCCCAAAGAGAAGTTCTCAGAGGTTTTCCACCACAAATGATCTTTAGATGGCTTGTGAAGTATAACAAAGTCTTTTATTAATGAACAATCAAACAGAAACTTCTCTTGTCTTCAAAAGGTTAAACAAATGCTTCCAGGCTTTTGTGCAACTGGTGGCTACTAACTGTTACTTAACTTTAAAGGAAAATCCCTTTCTAACTTCTCCCAGGCTGACTGTGAACCTAAACCTAACTGATGTGGGCACCACTACCGGGTTGAACTGCATCTCAAAGCACTGAGTGGACCTACCAGCAAGGCCTTTAGTCTCTTCAGCTGGAGTTCTTTGATATTCAAAGCTGTTTTTTCCCTCCGAAATTCCTCAGAGCTTTAGGGCTGTTTCCCTGGGAATCTTTGGGAATCTTTGGGTGTTCTTAAGACTGTGTCCCTGCATGGGAAGCTCCCGTCTGTCATCCCCAGCTTCCCATGCAGGGACATGAGGGAAGCCTCCCACAGGGTGGTTTTTTAAAATTTCGTATCAAAAGCATTGCATAAATTAGTATAAAACTGATAAAAATAGAAGGAGCACAGGTGGCTAAATATCTTTTGACCAAAAACGGGCAACAGCAACGGCATTGTCTGTAGCCTCCAACAATTATTCCTCTGTACATGAGGCAGGGCATAGTGGGCAAGCATACAGATGTAGCGTTGTTTGTTCTGCTCCACAGTCGCACAAGGTGGAGGATTCTTTTAAGTAGTGCCATTTTGCCAGGTTGTCTTTTGATCTTCCCACTAGACATCTGAGTCCGTTCAGGGTTGGTAACACATCTGGGCATCCTCTGGGCAATGTCTCTGCAGACGATCGATTCTCTGACACCAGAAGCGACTTGCAGTATGTATATGTATGTGTGTATATATATATTTACTTTTGTGTTGCCAACAACATACTTCCTAGAAAGTCGAGGGACCATCACTAGAAAGGTGCGCCATCAATATTAATGCCACTGAGGCTCATCGTGTTGAATGGTAATAGGATGAATGTTAAACAAATTAATTAATGATTATCCACTTTACTTTAAAATACTTCCCACGGAACTGGGGCTCTTTATAATAAATGGACATTCGTCCGTACTAAGTGAGTAATGAAATTTCTTCTGCATTAATTATTGCATCTAATTTTTTTAAAAAGCAGCAAAATGAATTTGCTGTGATCAGTCTCATTAATGCCGACACCAAAAGTAATAAAAGATCTGCTGGTTATCAAGTCTATCTTTTGCTGTGGGAATGGGTTTTGAGCGATGCTTAATTTGATCATTTGACTTAAGGTAATATCCCGTTATACAACGTATTATAATAATTAGGGCTGAATAGCTTCCGTTATTACATTAGTGCTGCAATCCAGAATTATATCTGCACTTTGTGAGCTGGTATTGCAAATACAAGATAAGAGAAGCCATTAGAAGAGTTTGGGCTATAATTCTATGCACAGATACGTCGCATATCTCCCATGGGAAAAAAGTGAAAGGTGCCTCTAAGAATTATGCCCATGATCAATAATAATAATGGGATCAGAATACAATGCGTTCTTGGTATTCTGGTTCCAGGACCCACCCCAACCCATCTAGATACCAAATTCTGTGGATACTCATCTCTTTATGTACAGTGGCACAGTGAAATTGTGTCCTTTGGACAGCAAGAAAGGCTGAAGAGCTGTGAAATGGCAGGAGGCGACAACAGGATATGCCTACACTTCAATGTTGTGCTTGGCAAGGTTTGCTGGGGAAGGGGTCTGCATCAGTTCTACACTGTAGATCAGTGGTTCTCAACCTGTGGGTCCCCAGATGTTTTGGCCTTCAACTCCCAGAAATCTTAACAGTAAACTGACTGGAATTTCTGGGAGTTGTTGGCTGAAACACCTGGGGAGCCACAGGTTGAGAACCACTGCTATAGGTGAACCCTCAGTTGACATATAGGCAGTACTCCTTATTAGAGTAAACCTTGACCTGTTTTATGTCATGGCTTTTGGTGGGGGACCCGATCTGTTTTTTAGGACCCTCTCGAAATCAGGAAGGCAGATACCTGTTTTTATCTTCGGTGCCAAAAGATCCATTTTCTATAGGCCCACTATGGGGCAGGAGGGCTTCCCACCCAGGCTCCCCTTCCTGGTGTGTGCTTTAAGGAGGCATCTTCTTACTTGCTGTTTCTACTCTAGAGTAAGAGGCACTTGGCTGCAGGTACTGGCAGGTGCAGGTCCTTTCTGGGCCTGCCCACCACATGCGCACACTCTTTCCAATTAGAGTGGAAAAAGAATGCATGAGTGTGGTGTGCCGGCCCAGAAAGCACCTGTACCTGTCTGTACTTTCAGCCGAGTGCCTCTTACTCTAGAGTAAGAAGTGCTCGGCTGCAGGCACTGGCAGTGTGGGTGCTCCTGCATGCCACACATGCACTCTCCTTGGAAAGAGAGTGCATATGTGTGGCATGCAGGCCCAGAAAGCACCTGTGCCTGCCAATACCTGCAGCTGTGCACCTCTTACTCTAGAGTAAGAAGCACTCGACTGCAGGCACTGACAGGTGTGGGCACTCTTGCACGCCACATATGCACTCTTCTTGGGAAGAGAGTGCATATGTGTGGCATACAGGCCCAGAAAGCACCTGCGCCTGCCAGTACCTGCAGCCAAGTGCCTCTTACTTTAGAGTAAGAAGCACTCGACTGCAGGCACTGACAGGTGCAGGCCTAGAAAGCACCTGCACCTGCCAGTACCTGCAGCTGTGCACCTCTTACTCTAAAGTAATAAGCACTTGGTTGCAGGCACAGGCAGTTGTGGGTGCTCCTGCACACCACACATGCACTCTCCTTGGAAAGAGAGTGCATATGTGTGGCATGCAGGCCCAGAAAGCACCTGTGCCTGCCAGTACCTGCAGCTGAGTACCTCTTACTCTAGAGTAAGAAGTGCTTGGTTGCAGGCACAGACAGGTGTGGGTGCTCTTGCACACCACACATGCACTCTCCTTGGAAAGAGAGTGCATATGTGTGGCATGCAGGCCCAGAAAGCACCTGTGCCTGCCAGTACCTGCAGCTGAGTACCTCTTACTCTAGAGTAAGAAGTGCTTGGTTGCAGGCACAGACAGGTGTGGGTGCTCTTGCACACCACACATGCACTCTCCTTGGAAAGACAGTGCATATATGTGACATGCAGGCCCAGAAAGCACCCGTGCCTACCATTGCAGCCAAGTGCCTCTTACTCTGTGATGCCAAAAAGCAGGCCAAGAACCAGGACCTGCTCCTGCTTGCTTTCGTGTTGAGCTGATTTTCATACCGGGAGGGACTTTCCTGTTCCGTGCTCACAAATAAATGAAAGAAACAAAGGAAACAAGAGAAACAAATTCCGTGCACAACTCTACTCCTTATCCACTGATTTGATAGCATTGGTTTCACAGCCACTCTCAAAAAAATATTCTACAGGAGGATTCTGGCCCAAATATAATAAAAATATTGGGTTCACTATCATCCATGGCTTCTGGTATCAACAGGGGTTCTTGGAACATATGCCCTGTGGATATGAGATTCATAATTTTGAGGAATATGACTTTGTGGAGATGGGGGGGGGGGGGTTTCAAATTAAACAATATTTATTTATTTACTTACTTTATTTATATACTGCTTTTCTCAGCCCTCAGGCGACTCAAATTGGTGAACAACATCGATACAAAACATCACGAGACAAGTACAGGGCAATTAAAAACAATTGTAACAATTGTATTGTTATAATACACTCGGTCACTTTCCACCAGGAGTTGATTGTAGAGCCATATCAGAAGACCTAAAAGCAGACTATGGCCCCTTCCACACTGCCCCTATATTGCAGGATATGATCCCAGGTTATCTGCTTATCCCCGGCTATCTGCCAGTGGAGAGTCATATAATCTGGTTTAAAACAGATAATCTGAGATCAGATCGTGGGATATAGGGCAGTGTAGAAGGGGACCATATGAATCAAATCTATGAACAATCAAATTCACAAATGTTAAAATCACAAATGTAGAGGGTCAACTGTACTTCCATAGAGAGGATAGCAAATGTTTTTAAATCTTGAGTAGAAGCACTTTGGTTAGAAGAAGAAACTACAATGCCACATTTTTTGTACTCACTAAACCAGAAGTTCCATATGGTCTCTTTGTAATCTTCACCAAAGAACCAGCACCGCCAAAAGAAACCTTCATGGTGAAAGGTGAGGATCTCGTTCTGCTCCTTCCAAGCTTCTCTCCCAACCTTTCAAACACAACACACAGAAATGTAAATAAAGATGAGTTATGGAAAATTATTCTGTTTCACTCTCATCTAGTTTAGCACAAAAGTTGATCATTTAGAAACATGAGCTGAAATCTACCATCAAATCCCACCTGTACCTCCAGCAGTCTTCAGAGCTTCTAGAAACCCAATTCTGGAAAATGTTACATTCCCTTTGAGCAAGTTTCAGAGCTGCTTGAAGTGCCATCGTGGAGAAGTGAGAAAAAGAGTTTTGAAAAGAGAAGAGAAGAGGAAAGCAATACCTGGAGAGCAGACTGAGCAGGTAAGCTAATAGTTCATTCTCTCTATAATCAGATATATTTACTTCTATACTTTCAAATTGAATTTGCCTTTTATTCTCTTCACTTCCCATTTTTGGAGATCTGTTCACTCTTTGTTGACAATGCATTGCCAATGTCCCCCATAAGAGCTAATAAACTCATTCCTAAACTAAAGTATATTGGGCAGAAGCATGTTTTGCAAGTTTCCCTTTCTCAAAAAAAAGTCAAAAAGGTGACAAAAACACACTGAATGACACTGGAACCATATGACAAATCCTTTGAAATTTGCCTTGATTTGAGACGTAGGCCTAACATTTGCCCATTACAAGTCCAATTATGAGAAGGGTTGACTTTTGGAAGTCAAGCCTAGTGTATGCAATGGAACTTATTTCCTTGTAGATGAAAACTACCTGGGGATTTGGACCCCTGGGGGGTCAAGAGGGGGTGTTGGAGGAGTTGCCAAATACCATCAGAAAATACAGTATTTTCTGTTGGTCATGGGGGTTCTGTGTGGGAAGTTTGCCCCAATTCTGTCGTTGGTGGGATTCAGAATGTGCTTTGATTGTAGGTTAATGAAGCAGAGAGTGTTTGAGGACTGGGACATCCATGTAGGGATACCAAGGTGGTTGTTTATAAAGCTATTGTCCTCCCAACCCTGCTATACGTCTGCGAGACGTGGATAATCTACAGACATCCCATGCAACTCCTGGAACGATTCCATCAGCACTGTCTCCGAAAAATCCTGCAAATTTTCTTGAGGGGTCCTTTGTCCCACCCTGGTCATTCCACAGATATATAAACCCATTTTCCTAGTTTCAACAGACCTCACTACCTCTGAGGATGCTTGCCATAGATGCAGGTGAAACATCAGGAGAGAATGCCTCTAGACCAGTGGTTCTCAACCTTCCTAATGGTGTGACCCCTTAATACAGTCCCCCATGTTGTGGTGACCCCCAACCATAATATTGTTTTCATTGCTACTTCATAACAGTCATTTTACTACTGTTATAAATCATAATGTAAATATCTGATATGCAGGATGCATTTTCATTCACTGGACCAAACTGGGCACAAATACCCAATACACCCAAATGTGAATGCTAGTGGGGTTGGGGGAGGATTGATTTTGTAATTTGGGAGTTGTAGTGGCTGGGATTTATAGTTCACTTATAATCAAAGAGCATTCCGAACTCCACCAGCGATGGATTTGAACCAAACTTGGCTCCCATGACCAGAAAATACTGGATGGGTTTGGTGGGCAGTGTCCTTTGGTTTTGGAGTTGTAGTTCACTACATCCAGAGATCACTGTGGACTCAAACAATGATGGATCTGGACCAAATTCTACATAAATACTCAATATGCCCAAATGTGAGCAATGGTGGAGTTTGGGGAAAATAGATCTTGACATTTGGGAGTTGTAGTTGCTGGGATTTATAGTTCATTACAATCAAAGAACATTCTGAACTCCACCAACGATAGAATTGGCTCAAACTTCCCACATGGAATCCCCATGACCATCAGAAAATACTGTGTTTTCTTATGGTCTTTGGCGACCCCTCTGACACCCCCTCGCGACCCCCTCAGGGGTCCCGACCCCCAGGTTGAGAAACACTGCTCTAGACCATGGCCATATAGCCCGAAAAAACCTACAACAACCCAGTGATTCCGGCCATGAAAGCCTTCGACAATACATTTTGGAAAAACTGAAACATTCAAAGCCATGCACAAGGGAGGAAAATCCTGCTCAGACTCTTGCATTAAATAAGAACATCGCCCAACTATAGAAATATAAGTTGATTAATCATCTGAGTTTCTTTTGGTTGATCTAATCAAGCAATCAAATCTGCAAGTGATTTTAGAAGATAGCCTCTGAATGTTTAAGAATGTATTGAAACTGGGTAACACAGGTAAAGGTAAAGGTAGTCCCCTGACATTAAGTCCAGTCATGTTTGACTCTGGGGTGTGGTGCTCATCTCCATTTCTAAGCCGAAGAGCCAGAGTTGTCCATAGACACCTCCAAGGTCATGTGGCCGGCATGACTGCATGGAGCGCCATTACCTTCCCACCAGAGAGGTACCTATTGATCTACTCACATTTGCATGTTTGCGAACTGCTAAGTTGCAGCTAGGGCTGACAGCGGAAGCTCACGCCGCTCCGCGGAATCGAACCTGCGACCTTTCGATCAACAAGCTCAGCAGCTCAGTGCTTTAACCCACTGTGCCACTGAATAACCCAGAAGCATGCACAATTGCTTCCTTTTTTCAAGTTGCAAGTTCTGACACTCTCATTCCCAGCTAATGGGAACTTCCTAAGACTACAAAAGGCTATCTGAAAACTATTTCTTGGGGTATTTGTAGTTTGTTTTTTTACCTCCTTGGTGTGAAGAGTACTGTTCTCAGGTTCAAATCCTCCACACGTCTCTGTGGCGAGGAGCCAGTAGTCAGTCCCGAAGGCTACAAGGAAAAGGAGGACGCCGAGGACTCCAAGAATCCCTGCTAAAAAGGCAGCTATTTTGATCTTCATGGTAGAAAGGCAAAGAGCAGGAAGGGGGCACAAAAGGAAGCAAAGGAGCCAAAATGGGAAAGCTCTTGAGTATTGCAGACAGACAGATAGACAGGGGAGGGGAACATGAAAAAATGGGGCTCTATTTTAAGATACTAGGTTGGCATCATTTCGCGACTGGTGTGCATTTCATGGGGCACGAAGGAGAGGGCTATGAAAAGCAGATGACTTGGGGCTGCCAAACAGCTGAGGCATTAAGGCAGGGCCATTGGCTGTACACAGCCCTGACATTCTGCACTGAGATAATCCAAAACGTGTGCCCTATAAGTACAGGGCACTGAAACCACGTAAAAGTGGGGAAAAGCACAAATTAAAAAATGCTGTATTTTACCTGGGAAAACACATCTCTAGGAATCTCCAGGAAGCATAAAGTCCCACTGGAAGATTGAGAGATTCTTAGAGACCATATCTTTCAAATCTACAAGTAATTGAATCCGAAGGAATTAAACCCAGAAGAAAACAAGCGGGATTCTCCATCAAGAAGATGGAGCAAAAACTTTACATTCAGGGCCAGGAGTTTGATTTGGGGGGGCTGAGTTTTGGGGGGGCTGAGTTTGATTCAGGGGAGCTGAGTTTGATTCAGGAAGGCTGAGTTTGATTTGGGGGGCTGGGTTTGATTTGGCAGGCTGGGTTTGATTCAGGGGGGCTGGGTTTGATTTGGGGGGCTGGGTTTGAGGGGGGCTGGGTTTGATTTGGGGGGGCTGAATTTGATTGGGGTGGTGAGTTTGATTCGGGGGGGCTGGTTGATTCGGGGGCTGGTTGGATTCATTCAGGGGGGCTGGTTTGATTAAGGGGGGCTAGGCTTGATTCCGGGGGGCTGGGTTTGATTCGGAGGGCTGGGTTTTATTCGGGGGGGCTGGGTTTGATTTGGGGGGGCTGAGTTTGATTCAGGGGGCTGAGTTTGGTTCAGGGGGCTGGTTTGATTCGGGGGGCTGGGCTTGATTCGGGGGGCTGGGTTTGATTCGGGGGGTGGGTTTGATTCGGGGGGCTGGGTTTGATTCAGGGGGCGGTTTGATTTGGGGGGCTGGGTTTGATTCGAGGGGCTGGGCTTGATTGGGGGGCTGGGCTTGATTTGGGGGCTGGGTTTGATTTGGAGGGCTGGGTTTAATTTGGGGGGCTGGGTTTGATTTGGGGTGGCTGGGTTTGATTTGGGGTGGCTGGGTTTGATTCGAGGGGCTGGGCTTGATTTGGGGGGCTGGGTTTGATTTGGGGGGCTGGGTTTGATTCGAGGGGCTGGGCTTGATTTGGGGGGCTGGGTTTGATTTGGGGGGCTGGGTTTGATTCGAGGGGCTGGGCTTGATTTGGGGGGCTGGGTTTGATTGGGGGGGGGTTGGGGGGGCTGGGTTTGATTTGGGGGGGCTGGGTTTGATTCGGGGGGCTGGGTTTGATTCGGGGGGTGGGTTTGAATCAGGGCCCTTCCACACAGCCCTATATCCTAGAATATCAAGGCAGGAAATCCCACAATAATAATAATAATAACAACAACAACAACAACAACAACACTTTATTTATTTTCTGCCCTTCTCACCCCGAAGGGGACACAGGGCAGATCACAGCACACATAACATGGCCAACATTCAATGCCATTTTTGTATAGACAATACACAGACAGAAAAGAAGTGTTATTGACTCAGTTTCCAGCTGGGGGGTTTTTTGTGCCAAGGAAGGTGTGTCCAGCCACATGGGGTGCTGTTGCTCCATTCTCTATGGCGAAGAGCCATCAGGACTTCCTCCTTCCTTTGTGGTCATCCAGCATTTTCTATGTTCTTTCTTTATGGCATCATACAACACCTCCCCCGCTTTTAGCGGTACTTAATTTCTCTAATTACTGCGAAAGCTGTTTTCGAACTGCTTAGGTAAACAGTGAGCAGTGCTGAGAGTCGACTGCTCACACTGACCCAGGGCTTTGAACTTGCAACCTTTCAGTTGACAGATCTTCTAGTTGCTGGTGATTTATCAGCTGTGCTAAATAAACATCCTATCTGCTTTGAACTGGGTTATCTGAGTCCACACTCTGATAATGTGGAATTTTCTGCCTTGATATACTGGGATATAGGGCCGTCTGGAAGGGCCCTCATTGATGCCATGCATTAATAAATTGCTGCACTGCACAACTGAATAAACAAATGATAAGTGCTCATTCGGGTGTGCAAAGCAGTGGAATCACTAAGGGTGTTTCAGATAACACCATCAGAAGTAATGTCACCAAAAGGAATCTCTTCAATGTTTTTGTGCAGTGTTTCAACAGAAATAAAAATATCCCTGTGTATAACCAGTGGGTTAAACCGCCAGCTGCAGAAAATATTGCTCACTGGAAGGCCGGCAGTTCAAAGCTGCAAGTCAGGCTGAGATCCTGCCATTGCCTTGGCTTCTACCAACCTAGCAGTTTGCAAACAATAATATGAGTAGATCAATAGGTACTGTTTTGACAGGGAGGTAAAAGGCACCCATGCAAACATGCCAGCAATTCGATCAGGAAGGTGTCTATAGACAACAGGCTCCTTGACATGGAAAATGGAACAAGAGCACCTCTGCATGGCTGTAAGTTAGCACAGCCACCAGATGCCAGAGATGAAAAGGAGGAAGCCTTTACCTCTGTCTGTACTGTGTGTCTTTGTTGTTATTGTGTAATTCTATTGAATGTTTGCCATATGTGTATTCTGTAATCTGCTCTAAGTCCCCTCGGGGAGATAGAGCAGAATATCAATAAAGTATATTATTATTGTGCTGTTGAAGTGGAATATAAATAAAGTATGTTGTTGTTGTTGTTGTTGTTGTTGTTGTTGTTGTTGTTGTTTGGGTAAACTTGCCTTATATGTACTGTATCAATACACCAAGGAGGTAAAAACTATTTGCTAATTCAGTGTTTTCCAACCTGGGAGTAGGGACTCCGGTAGGGTCGCGAGTGCATGTCAGAGAAGTCACCAAAAACCATCAGAAAACACTGTATTTTTGGTTGGTCATGGGGGTTCTGTGTGGGAAGTTAATTCTATTCTATTGTTAGTGGGGTTCAAGGGGCTCTTTGATTGTAGGCGAACTATAAATCCCTGCAACTACAACTCCCAAAGGTCAAGGTCTGTTTTCCCCGAAATTACACCAGTGTTCACATTTCGCCATGTTGAGTATTCACACCAAGTTTGCTCCAGATCCATCATTGTTTGAGTCGACAGTGCTCTCTGGATGTTGGTAAACTACAACTCCAAAACTCAAGGTCAATGCCCACCAAACCTTCCAGTATTTTCCGTTGGTCATGGGAGTTCTGTGTACCAAGTGTGGTTCAATTCCTTCATTGGTGGTGTTCAGAATGCCCTTTGATTGAAGGTGAACTATAAATTCAGCAACTTCAACTCCCAAATGACAAAATCAACCCTCTGCAACCCCACCAGTATTCAAATTTGGGCATATTGGGTATTTGTGCCAAATTTGATCCAGTGACTGAAAACACAGCCTGCATATCAGATATATACATTACAATTCTTAACAGTAACAAAATGACAATTTCGAAATAGCAACAAAAATAATTTCATAGTTGGGGTTCATCACAACATGAGGAACTGTATTAAGGGATCACGGCATCAGGGAGGTTGAGAAACACTGCACTAATTGAACCTTCTACATGCTTGACCAACTAGCTATGAGCAGGTATGGTTGGCACTTAATGCATAATGCTTAATGTTATCATCAAGGGTTGTGCCCAAGTCTCAGGTTTTTGCCCAGAAACATCAGGACCTGGGACAATCCTGAGCTGGCATCTCTAATCACAACTATGAACCTTTCTTGATGGCCAGGGGCAGCTCAACCCATTACGCAAAGTAAGCAGTTGCAGTATAGTTGATTTTGCCCAGGGGCGCTCTTGAGGCGCTCTTGGGGGAAAATAGACCTTGACATATGCGAGTTGTAGTTACTGAGATGTATAGTTCACCTACAATCAAAGAGCATTCTGAACTCCACCAATGATGGAATTGAACCAAATATGGCACACAGAACTCCCACGACAAACAGAAAATATATATCAGTGATTGGTTGGGGGGAGTGGGGGGTGGGAAAAATACTGTTTGCTTACCATTGAAAATTACCTTGGGCCACCTCTGTTGATGGCAAACAGATTCCAAGGCTGAAAGAAGGGAATCCTATTTGGGACCCTCTGTTCTATACCTGCCACATTGTTTTGCTGAAGCTTCGTCAACACCTCAATGAGTTTTGCTCACTTTAGAAGATATTAGAGACTTATAGTATTTTGGTATTATTTGAGTTTATTTACAGATATACATGCTGTACATAGAATAAAGCACATCTTAACACTTACAAGCAAACATGATTGTCCCATATGAAATCCCTGACCAATTCTGGTCTCACACACTAACCATTATGCAACATTGTTCTGTTCATCATGTTCATGATGTTTGAGAGATGGTTAGGAAAGACGAAATGGAGCCCACATCTTTGATCTGCCAACCTACAGATCAACTCATTGCACCATCTCTTGGAGACCATCCACACTGCAGAATTATAGCAGTTTGATGCCACTTTCACTGCTCTAGCTCCATCCTAGGGAATGCTGGGATTCGTTCCGGCACTAGCGTTCTCTGCAGAGAAGGATAAATAGCTCACAAAACTACAATTCCCAGGTTTCCGTAGCATTGAGCCATAGCAGTTAATGTGGTATTAAACTACAACTTGCAGCCTCCTTCAATGTCATTGATATTAGTCAACAATAATCTGTGGAGCCTCTGGATTCTCATTCCTAATGTCCTGTACTTCTATGGTAAGTACAGGAACGTATCCTCCATATGTACAAGTATTGTACTGTACTGTTTCTATGATATCTACAGAATCATGAAATAAATATAGATATAAATACAAGCAAAATGGAGGGAAAAGAAAAACCAAGAATGGTACAATGTTACTTTTCCTCTGAGATTGGACTTTTGGCTGTTTCTTCATCATTAATCCACTGGGAAGAATCTCTCTGCAGAGGTATGATAAAACCCACTGATCTTGACCGGTTAGATTTTACGTTTGGTGCTTTCCTGGCATGTTTGGCTGCAGAAGGAAGAAAAAATATGGCACTTG